GCAAGAAAGCGATACAAAGCGATTGTGTAACAAATCTTATCTATGGTAAATAACTTGTATATGTTAATTGTGAACCATTATTGTTTGTTAATTCTGTTCAATATATACTTTTAAATCTTCCACGGTTTGATTGAAAAAACCCTGTCATCAAGCTCAAGAACTTTAGAACTCAAGCTCACAGGCTCGCTTCACGAGGCTTCCGTCGAGGCTGCCATTCCTCGACGTGATATTAATAGTGCTTTGCAACCACTACTCGCTTAACGAGACAACCACCCGAGGTAGCCTAGCCTGAGGTGAAGACCCTGTTCGATAGCCCCCTGCATCGAAACAGCGGTAAACTCCAGGATCCACTTGCGACCTGCGAAACCGTCCGAGACTGACCACCTCCGACGAAGATCCTGTGCGATAGCCATTCGCATCGACACAGCGATACTCCAGGCTCCTCCAGAGACCTGCGTCCCGCCGAGGTAGCCCAACCTGAGGCGAAGATCCTGTTCGATCGCCCCCTGCGACGAAACAGCGATACTTTCAGGCTCCTCCAGAGACCTGCATACCGTCCGAGGCTTGCGACCCTCCGACGAAGACTTTGATTCCGACTGTGCCGGCTCCATCGAGAGACCCGCACCTCGGTACAAAGTACACACATAGGCTCCTACGAGACCTACAATTCAGACTCCATTGAGATCTGCAAATCCGAGGCAATCTTCCTCGTCAAACTTCTAGGCGGTCACTCGTCGAGGCAACCTTCCTCGTCAAACCCCTACGAGGCATTTACTTTGTGACCCACGGGCACAAAGCAATAGTACGCACGTTATTGTGGCGGCGTACTTCCAAATTTAGTAAAGAAGTTATCCTTACTTCTAGGGCTCCCTCGAGAGACCCACATTTAATAGTAGAGTCAGTGCTTACTACAAGACGTCTACAAGACTTTCGGAGCAAAAGAGCTTGCTCCGACATTGTCGTACCGGGAAGATGAACCCCTGCGACGCGACTACGAAATCCAGTGCTACGAGGATTGGTGCCCTCGAAGGTAATACTACGAATAATAAATTAGATCGTGTGAGTATGATCAAGACTGAGCTGGACGAGACCTCGTCCCAAATCGGAGAGACCAGCGGTCACACGAACTGCCCTCACACCTGTTTGCCGGCGAAAGATCTCTCGACATTCGGGGTGAAAGAGGAAATGGCCTCTCCTGCCAACGCTATATCGATGCTCCGCGAAGAGTCTGAGGGACCGAAGATGGTGGCTCGCGGAAGTACGCGGCACGGCGCAGCCACAGCGCCGTACGCGTTGAGGTCCGCTGCTACGCGAGTTACTGGCACCATCTCGACCACCCCTCACGACGCACTCGCGGATCCGAGTAGCAACCAAGAGTTACCACGAAGTGGGTCACCCACAGATACTCGGGACGAGGTTCAACCTACGTACCAACTGGTAGGGTCCGGGGAATCCCATGAGTCCAACCACGGTTCACGATCTGGCCCCGGTAGTGGAATACTTCCGATGTCGGGTGTTTCGGAACGTGAGCTAGCCGTCGGTGACGACGCTACAGTTCATTCAGCTTTTTTACGAAGTGGTATCCAGCGGGAGCAATGCGCATCGCGTTCGGGTGCCATAGTAAGCGAAAACCCCTTAGCCGACTACGTCATAGGTGACGAAGCCGGCCTTTTTTATCAAAACAATACTTGTACGTCGCCCGTCCATTCTCATGATTTCCCCCGAACATACGATCATCGCCTAAGTGGTCCATATCAAGAAAGTCTAACCCGACACGACGCTCAACGCGGAGCTCGACCTTCTTCGTCGAGATCTCCCCCGCGAGCTCGTGTCCTAGACACCACGTCTGTAGGTCATATCCACCACAGATTCCAGTCGTCAGAGAATATAGTGCGACCGGGCGTCGATAGTGACGATCCCCGTGAACTCCGTGCGTTTCTGCCGCGGAACCCGGTCAAGGGAACTGACATCCCAGATCACCGGTTGCGACATGGTTTCCAACGTGGAGCTCGATTAGAACTCCCGATGTCTCCACTGAGGACCCATGCCGACCGAACACAACATCTCGATCACAATTACCCGCACAATTCTCAAATATTACGCACTACAGATCATATTCCACGACATGGCGCCCAACGTGGGGCTCGATTAGAACTCCCGAGGTCTCCACCGAGGGCCCATGCCGTCGTTACCAATACAAACGGTCATACTCCACGACACTAGGTTACCTCACAACTTTGAGGAGAAGTGCAAGGGCAAGAGGGAGTGTTACGTCATCCGGTATGCCAGCCTGCCAGCGTCTGTGGAAATATTTTAATGTATAAGCTTGGTGCCCAATTAAATAATTTTGAAAAAATATTGTAAACAATTTAATTATATTTCAATAATTGATATTTTGGTATTTCTTAAAATCATTGTGATGGTCATAAAGACTTATTACAGTTGAAATAGTAAGAAAGTAGGTACTGTTATAAACAATATTCAGTGAAATTACTCATTATATTGCCTTTATCATTACTATCTTGTCAGCTAATGGTCATATCAAATATTAATATTGAAAAAATTGCTCTAAGTCAACAATAATTATATTATTTGACATAACAGATATATGTAGGTACTTTTTTTATTTGCTTGATTGGGTGTTTTGCTACCTGTTGAAAAAATTAATAATTAATTAAATGAACCCTTGCGCCAAGAGGGTCAGTTAAGGGTTGTTTATTTGGAACTAGATTTGCGTAACCAAAAATCTCACACTAATCCTTTTGGTGCAATGGTTCATTTAATTAATTTTGGCAAAATACCCAATGAAGCAAACAAAATACTAAATGCCACAAATAAATAGCTTCAGACAATAGATATGTGTATACCATTTAAAAAAATGAAGATAATAAATAAATAAATAAATAAATTAAAATTACTTGATTTTTAATTTTATGCTTTAAGTATGTAATTTAGATTATTATTTTTTCAATTGGAATTAATTCATTAGTAGGTAAAATAGGTATCTATAATAAAACTTTAAAACATTATATTTATAATTAACAATACAAGAAATATTATGTTAATAGTTAGTATTTCCAAAATACATTAAAAATATATATATCTACCTTGAAATTCCATCAAAATGACATTTATAAAGTATAAAACAGTATAAAACTCGTAAGTTCATTTAAAAGTAGCATACAGGTTGAACGTCAAGCGCGCCAATTCCTCACTTAGTTCCCATTGGTCGGCGGAGTTATATGAGGCAACCTAGTATATACCCAAGGATATTATGTATTATAAATATCCTTGGGATAGACCAGCCTTGAATCAGACCAGGACTCCTTGATATTATTTCGATTCGAATGGGAGGATTTTCGATATAATTTCGATAGCTAAATTTTCAATAGGACCGATATATCCATATTTTTCGATTTTAATGGGTAATGGAATCAAGATTTCGGAAGTCCTTCCCTTCCACAGAATACTAATTCATCCTTTCATGAATTTAATAAACAGTCAATTATATTTTCCTTTAGTTATTTTAACACTTCCTGATATACCAGAGGCCTAATTTTTAAATAAATATTTTGCTCAGTAAAGACCACTGAAAATAAATAATTCTTGGATTAAGCAGGCAGCATTTAATTTGTTTTTGAAAATAAATAGCTAAATAATATCGATGAGGACTCAATTTGGGATCGGGACAATAATTATTACTCATATAAAATTCATATAAACAAAGGTAAAAATGTAGTAGATAAAAACAACAATTACAGAAGCAGAAGAAGATTTGTAGAAGTGAGGTTACCTATGTCATTTGTATAAGACGGAAATTATATTGGATAAGTAAATAGCTCTTTAAAAAACGAACGTTTTTATAAAATTATGGCTAAAGGAATCACTATTTGAAGGGAATGGAAACAATAAGCAATCAGTGATAAATATAATTTGACATACATAAGTGGTAAGTCCTTGCATGTAGTTGTCCGCGAATTGTTGCTTACAAAATACAGGGCTTACGTGAAATGTAAGTTTAGATAGATACCTGGGAACTGGGGTGTCTCGTTACGTATAGATTGTATAAAGCTCTTTGCAATTCACAGTTTAAAGGCATTTTTTTTTGTGTTATACTTTATTTTTGGACTCTTAATGGATATTTATTTAAATAAATACTAATAAAAGGAAAAACGGTGGTTGTTTTCATTCTTTTTTCTTTTATTTAAAGTTTACACAAAATACGCGCTCTCCTACATATCATTTTACTTAGACGCACGTGGATATGTATCATGTATACAGGGTAGTTCAACAAATTTTATGTTGAGTAGGATGCCAGGGCCAATTATTACTTAAAAATGAGGTTCTGATTACTGTCCATAAGTAAATGCAACCTTTTAACTGCATCAAACGATAAAACAAATATGGATCTCGTACTTATTTATACATATTTTGATATTTTCACCTAGACTAATTTTAAGATTGGCACAATTAAAACTGATTTTGTGACGTGAATAAGCGAAAATTTAGAATCTAATTTTTTCCCCAAAAATATTTAAATATTTTATATATATATATATATNACCTGTGTAAGCCTGTAATACAGCGCTGTAGTAAAGGTACCATTCGGTTGGTTATTTACCCGATATTTCATTGTATACTCTATAATCAGTGTTGCCAATAGACACAAAAAATTAGTACCAAAGATGGAGCAAGAAAAGTACCAAAAAAGTCCAAGAGGTACCATTAAACAAAACAAAAAGCAAATTTTGGCAGGGTTCATTTATGAGATGTATTATACTACCAAATCTATGATATGTGATGTGGGTCATTAATGATTTCACATTTTAAATTTATGCTGAACGAAATCAAAACAAATATCTTGAAAAATTGTATATCAAATAAGTTGATTAAAAAAAAAATTCTAAAATTGTTTCATAACCAAGTTACTCTGTGATTGTACTTAAAAGACAAATAAAACACACGATTTTAAATAACTTCAGATAATGTATTTTCCAAAATAAAATAGTAACATAAAATAACATTCTTTAAAATTTACAGGGCAGAAGGGATAAACATTGCACCCATCCCTCTAGGATATTATAGTATGTATGTGATTTATATAATTAATATAATAAAACTCAGAGTAATAACTTCTTTCCTAATAAAGTTTTATCAGGATCCCAATTCCGACAATCAGTATTCGTAGAATTAATTAACTCTTTTGATAGTAATATAGCATTACATGTCTCTGGAAGAAGACGATTTCTGGTTTTAGTTTTAACTAAATTTAAGGTAGAAAATATTCTCTCTGCCGCTGCAGATGAATGAGGTAAACTGATAATATTAAAAACAAAGTAGCAAAGATTGTGAAATACTTTTTCGTCATCGGAATTCTTCATTGAATACAATTCAAACCAAAAATCTTGGAAGTGCAAGTCCACTAATTTGATTTTTAAATTTTCAGGTAAACTAGAAATCAGGCGGGCTTCTGACCCAATTGCCATAACATTGTTGTCACTTAAATGAATAAATTGTCGTAATAGTGGCGTTATCGATACAGTATTTTCACATAATTTTTTTGGGTTTATCAGACCAAAAAATTCGTACTGTTTCAGATTTTGGAAACGATTTCTAATTTGGCAACATAATTCAATGTAGTAAGAAAGACAGTGATTTTTAAACTGGTAAAGTTCAGTGTTTGGGCTAAAATCAACAAGAAGAAGAGCACAGTCTTCCCCTAGGTACAAATCTTCATTGGACAAATACATCCTTACATTCATGGGATTTAAATCTAGAAGATGAATTTTATCCTCTTTTACCCCGTCTTGATCAACATAAGATTTCTGCATGTAATTTTTCAAAATTGTTCGATATAAACTGGAAATTCTGTCATAAATTACATGTAATTTTGATTTTTCACTTTGAAATTCTTTATTGATCTTATTGATCATGGGAAGTATATATGATAGAAAAGTTAGATATAACTTAAAAATACAGTTTTCCAACCCATATAAGATTTGTTCTGCTGCTACTAAATTGTCTTCCAAGACTGCACTTTGGAAATACAGTCTTAATGCTGGCCATTGTTCTAAAATTCGTAACACCACAGCCTGAAATAATGTAAATTTTGAAATTAAAACAGTAACAGTACTAATGATTAATGAATAAGAAAACTAACCTCTAAAGAAAGCCATCTTGTTTGACTCAATCTTAGTAGTTTATGTGGTTTTATATTTACAAAATCTTGAAATTGTTTAAAATCCTTCAGCCTTTTAGCACTCCCATTTAAATAGTTGTATAAGTTGCGAACAAAATCTTCAATTTCTTTAGGTAACTTATTAGCGGCACTAGAGGCACACAAAGCCAATGAATGGCAGATGCATCCAATGACAAAAATATTTGGTAACAATTCTTTCAGTTTAGCTTGAACACCGTTAAAATTACCCATCATCACGGCAGCATTGTCTGCCGCAAATCCAATTATATTATTTCTGGGTATTTTTAAATCATCGATAACCTGTAGTATTGCAGTGACAATACCTGCTGCTGATAAATCATTAACCTCGATAAGAGACAACAGTCGATCTTTTACTTCATTTGATTCAGTACTTACATATCTTACCAATATTGCCAAGCATTTGGTCACAGATATGTCGGTGGTTTCATCAACTATGATGGAAAATTTGGTTTTCGTTAGAATATGTGCTAAATTTGCTTGACTTTCAACTGCCATAACTTTTACCATAGACGTTGTTTTTGTCCTCGCACAATTTAAAAGCTTTAGTATTTCAGAGTCTGGAGCTATACTTTTAAGTAAATCTGGTAAATGATCCATATATAAAAATGGCAAATTATGTTCCACCACTGACATAGCCAACTTGTATTCTGCCCGCTTAACTTTCAGTGACAATAATTCTTTTTTTGAATTTTCCGTGAGGTAATTAGATATATCAACAATGGCCTTGGCTTGCCTTAATCGTTCTTGATGACTAGTTCGTTCCTCATGTCTTCTGAGATGAGCACGATTTTTAGTTAAGGGTACATGGCAATACTTGCAAAAAATTGCATCACGTTTATCACTAATCACAAGCCAAGGGAATTCTGTAGTCCATTCCTTTCGACAATATCTGTTTGTGGGATTTGCCTTCTTTTTCTTCGTTGGCTGCAAATTACAATTATATTATTTATTATATACATATTTTTAGGACACAATTCAATCTGATATACTTACTATTTCTTTGAAAATGACTACTTCAGCTTCACAATCAGAATACATTTCATCTTCACAACAGCCACCACTTTCAGATGTTGTTTCGTATGCTAGTTGATCTAAATCAACAAGATTTGATGTGACTAAATTCAATGAATTGTTAAAATTCTCTTTCTCCCTAACATTATTATCAGAATTTTCATTAGTTGCCATATTACTTGTAACACTTGTAACAGTGCAATCGATTTTTCGCTTTGGTTTTGGTATTGTTTTAAAGTATCTAAAATGAAGTTTCGTAATTTTAGAAATTGCTATAATAATAGTATTGATTTACCTTTCCATGTTTAAGCAAACACACAAACTTCTTCACTAATTCACAAATTTAAGGATAATTAAAATCACAAAACTTAAATTAAATATTATGTACTGATATTTAACGACTTCACACTTTGACAGAACAAAATTTCGTGACATTCAGTTGACAATGGACTCCACGGAAATGTAACAAAGTAGACAAAATGAGTACCACATCACAAATAAAACCGACCACTGAACACTGAATATATGTTAATTTCGTATTATATTTCTCCATGGCACGGACGTGACATAGCTGGGTGCCAGTCACTGACCTTGGATGCCAGAATGCGGGAAATTTAAAGCGAAAAACCGAACCGTTCGCACACCGGCCAATGAATGACGCCATTTGAACAAACATTATATATAACAATGGTGAAAAAGTTAGTGTAATTGGCTGTAAGCCGTGCACGAGCTCAAAAAGTACCAAAATAAATAGAAAAGTACCTCGGTACCAAAGATGCTTGAAAAGTACCAAAATGGTACTATAGTACCACCCCTGGCAACACTGACTGAAACTGAACTAGCAGTGTTGCCAACAGACGGAAAAAAATAGTACCAAAGATGAAGCAAGAAAAGTACCAAAAAGGTCCAAGAGGTACCAATATACCAAACAGAAAGTAAATTTTCGGAGGGTTCATTTATCAGTGATGTGGGATGTGGGTCAAATAGTAATTTCACATTCTAAACTTATGCTGAATCTAATTAAAACAAATTTCTTGAATAATTGTATGTTTTGTAAGTCAAAGAATAAGTTGATTGAAAAAAATTCGAAAATTGTGTCAAAACTTTGTGATTGTACTTAAAAGATAATGTATAGTCTCCATGGTAATGACCTTCCTGGTAATGACACTGACATTTAACGACTTAACAGCATGACAGAACTAATTTCATGACATTACAGTTGACCATGGACGCCACGGAGCTGTAACCAGAGTAGCAAAATAAGTACCACACCACAAACAAAACCGACCACTGAACACTGAATTTTTGTTGCTCTTGCATGTTATATTCTTCCATGACATGTCCGTGACGTTGCTAGGTGCCAGTAATGCGGGAGATTTAAAGTACTAGGCGAAGAACCGAGCCGTTGGCGCACTGGCCAATGACGCCAGCTGAACAAACACTATAAGGGTGAAAAATTTAGTATCATTAGTTGTAAGCCGTGCACGAACTCAAAAAGTACCAAAATAAATAGAAAAGTACCTCGGTACCAAAGATCCTTGAAAAGTACCAAAATGGTACTATAGTACCACCCCTGGCAACACTGTCTATAATACTTTTATCTAGTTTTGTTGGGTATTTTGCGTTATGCAATATATCATAACCCAAATTTGACGCTTTTGACAGTCAACCATAGAACAACAAATAGTAGATTTCATTCTCGCAGTTAACCTACTCGGCCATCGGCCACAAAACACGGTTGACTCGGCGGTCAGTCATCAGCCAGTGAACACTGAACAGTAACATATACCCGCTAGGCATCAGGTGCGTTCCACTGGTGCAGGAAGTGAACCGATCACTTGTCATACCCTGACAATTATAACATTTTATAGTAATATACACCTAGTTCAGAAGTATTTGGTATCATTTTTAGTGGACCTGCCTTTTTCCCGTTTTTTTGTATAGTAACAACGAAGGCACTGTGGCGAATAAAATCCACCATCTTATAGGGTAGAAGTAACATCCGGGGTTGCAAAAACGGGTGGCGCCTTTAAAATTTTTGATTTTATGCTTTTTACCCAGCCCGTCTCCACTGAAGCTAGCTGCCAACCCCTATTGTGGATATTATCCGTCCCCTTCGTCCACTATAGCCACCCAAAATTTTGGAACTACCCCCAGTTTTGTGGCGGTTTCCCCAAACACCGTCACAA